AAAATTCATATCGTAGAAGTTAGGACTATTATATTATTGACAAGTATTAAATAATTTATTCTTTGGTTTCTCGAAAAAGACGTTGCAATTAATTGATGCCAAGCTGCCATTATCTTCTATAACAATAAGGTCCCCTCTTTTTCCTTAATTTTAGAATCAAACAAAAACCAGAAAACAAATAATGACCTTCGAGTCCCCACGGACCCTACACGCATACGGCCTAATTAAAGCCAACAGCCTAATTCACTGCCCATACCCATCTTTTCATTCCCTCCCTCTCCCTTCATTGTCATTTTCAGATTTTGTACACCAGATCTCCTTCTCTTCTATTGATCGCCCTCTCTTGTTCATGGTTGTTGAGTTTCAAATCATTCATTACAGACATAACATTGTTCTTTGCATAATGTGAATTGAAATGAAACGAAAATCCATTTGTATTGAGAGGGAAAGAGAGATATAAGGAGGGAGAAATTTCAAGAATCCTAGTCATGGAAATTGCAAGATTTAGGGAATTGATGCTCCTTTGGTGTAGAATTAGAAGCAACCGTTTAGCTCTCGTGGGTGGGAATCACACCGCAGCCAGATTTTGCACTCGCTAAAAATCCTTTCTTTTCACGTTTTGTGGCTTGTTCCCTCTCTCTTTCAAAACTGAAAATTTCAAATTTTCCCATATTGCACTGCCCCAGCTTTGTGACTGAGCTCTATTTGTTATTGATAAACAGATCTACATTTTAGTTTTCTACATCTTGAGTGAGCAAAATATGGACGGAATGACTCGTGAGTATCGAGCTAAAAATCGAATCAAGATGAACAATGAGTTGAATGGATTTGGGATCGGATTTAATTCTGATACCCTTTTGATTATTAAGCTCCCGGATTTGCGGGTTATGCGTATTATATCAAGATCATTGTTATTGGCAATGGTTCTTGTTGCTTTGCTTTCCCTTGGCTGTATAAGAAGGGATTCTACGAATGAATTTTGTGAGTTCGATGCTGATTCGGACATAAATTGTTTCAAGATTTTGCCTATTCTTTTGCGTGATTTGATTGACGAAGGCCTTATCAAGAAAGGCAACAGAGGGCTCATTTTAGGCTCCTGCATTGGTGATATTGAAGATGATTGTGCATTCATGAATGGAAATGGTATTGATTTGGCCATTGAATCTGATCAAAACCAGAAGAAATTGAGCCAAGATGACGTGTTTGATTTTGTTTTGGCTTTGAATTTCCATGAAATTAAGCTGATTGATGGTGTTCTCAAGAATGGTGGCATCGTGATTGCGCCACTGAACAATGATTCCCCTAAAGTTCTTCAAGAACAAATGAATTATAGGATGGTGTATCTTCGACGATTTGAGAATGAGAATATTTTGTACGAACATATTCCAGACATTGAGAACACCTTGGTGGCATTGAGGAAAACCGGGGTATCAAATGGCTTGATGAATTCCCCGACAAAGGACGTATCTTGTGGAACTGTATCAGAGGTCAAGAAATTGGCATTGGAGGGCTTAGAGGACGTGTATCTAGAGCCGCCAAGACGAGCATTTGCAAAATTAAGTTTTGGATCAAGGAAAATGAAATTTCTGCCTGATTTGATGAGGGACTCTCTCGACAATTATCCTCGAAGGATTTTCATCTCAGACGATACAAGTTCCATCGACTGGTTTTACAAAAACTATCCAATGAGAGATCAACAATTTGAGATATACAACATGGAGATTGAGAATCAGGATGAATCAATGAGTGGAACTGTGCCTCAAGAAATGGGGCTATCAAAATGGCTAATGCAAAATATGAAGCGCGATGACTATGTTGTGATGAAGGCGGAAGCACAAGTAGTGAAAGAAATGATGAAAGACAAGACTATATGTCTAGTTGATGAGTTGTTTTTAGAGTGTAAGAATCAATGGCAAGATGAGGATGGTGAAGAAAAGAATGGCAGCAAGAGGGCATATTGGCAATGTTTAACATTGTACGGGAAACTGAGAGATGAGGGTATTGCTGTGCACCAATGGTGGAGTTGATTTTGTGAGCATGGGATGTAGGGAGCAAGGCATAGTGATCTTCTCAAATTGTTTGTCATCTACGAGACTACTAGTAGTGAACTTTGGCAACTTGCTTTATTGGGTTGGTCTTGTTGTGGGACGAGCTTTCGGCATGTTTGTTTAGTATGTTGTATTGTTTGTTATCGTGTGTAGCGTTGTTCAATTTTAATTATTTGTCATGTATAAGTTGTGAACTTTGGCAAATGGCTTGGTGGATCGGTATTTGTGTAATGAGCTTCTATCATGTTTAGTATGTTGGAATAAAAGAAGTTAAATCTTATTTGATGTCCTTTGTAGTATTGTTTAGCAATTTTAGGGGATAACTTCAATTATTTGCCGTATACAAGTATAATTTGGCAATTGCTTTGTTGGTTGGTCTTGTTGGTTGAGGAGCATTTTAGTACATTGAACTAGACATGGATGAATAAAATTAAAAATTAGAAGAAGTTAAACTACTTATTGTATAGTTCCATATATAGAGCACATCCATCATGATTTGATTCCTTTATCAGACTTTCTTAGTTATTTAGAAGAAAATTACAATTATTTGTCATTGTATGAGTATTGAACTTTGGCATTTCACTTTGTTGGTTAGTCTCGTTGCATGATTGATTTTTGGCATGTTTAGTATGTTAAATTAAATTATTATTTAGGGATAATTGTAGCAGCGGTACCTAACATTTCATTTAGTAGCGGATTTTGTCCAAACCTTTCATTTGTGGCACACGTGGTATCAAACTTTTCATTTGTGTCACCCACGGTACCAAACATTTCAAAGTGTTGCAGCTGAAGTTCAAATGGATGGTTTTTGTTAATTTGACCGTTAGTTGATCAAATAATTGACATTTACAGTAATTTGGACTAATTTTAAAATGTTAAAATGGTAATTTTACATTTTTAAAAATAACCAAAATAAAATAATTAAAATTAAAAACTCATTTCCACATTTTTCTTCATCATCCATCCCACCATACTCACCCCACCCCAGTGTGGGTGAGAGTTTTTTTTCTTTTGGTTGCTCAAATTGGCCCGACACATAAAGGCCATTATTCAACTTATGAGATGGAAAACATGAACCCATATGGCTTACTACTTCTTGGACTCGGAGTGCCGAAGTTTGTTGTCATTGCCAACGTGGTTGCACTAGTTCTCGGGCCCAAAAAGTGATGGGTGGGGGTGGAGTGGAGTGGCGTGGGTATGTTTGGTGGTGGATGGAGAAAATGAAGTTGGTTTTGGTTTTTAATGATTTGATTTTAGTTATTTCAATATAAAAAATGTAAAGTTACCATTTTAGCTTTTTAAAATTAGTCAAAATTATTGTCAAAATCAATTGTTCAGTCAACTGAAGGTCAAACTAACATAGACCATCCATTAAATTTCAGCTACACAGTTTGAAAGGTTTGGTACCGTGTGTGACACAAATGAAATGTTTGGACAAAATCTAGTACTAAATAAATGTTTGATATTGTTGCTGCTATTATCCTTATTATTTAATGGGATTAAAGAATAAAAGAAGTAAAAAAAACTTGTAGCTCAAAGTTTGCTAGAGAATGATTCGAAAGATTCACGAGTAGTATGTGGGAAGTTGTATTATTATTATTATGATCATCATCATCATCATCTTAGCAAAGAGAGAATGAGACTAGAGATTTAAGCCAAGCCATTGCATTAAGGGTTTATCCGGATGTACCGAATGGGGGTGACCGAATGGTGTCCCCTCCCCCCCCCACAAATGCAACGGGCCCCATGTTTTTAAAAAAATGCTGCTCGTGGTCCCCACTCCCAAATGTGAGTGGGGTGTAAAAGATTAGATAAAAAATTATGTACATGTAGCATAACCCTTACATTAATGCTAAAGATGAAAATCAAAATGTGTTGTTTCTTAACACTGAATTGCATAAAAAGTAAAAACGAATGAATTATTTTTAAAAAGGCGTACTATGAATATGGAGCATTTGCCAAGCTCCATCGTAGATGTGATTATATGAATATAACTATATTGAAAGAATTTGAATAAATAAAACGAGGAACGTTGTAAAGAAGATAAAGAGGAAAATTGCAATTTGTTCCCATAAAATTTCTAATTTTCTATTGAAGGGTGGAGTAGGTATTTACGGATTCTACACTAAAGAGGGTAAATCAACATAGTTTGGGGCGTAATTCAAGTGTCGCAAGAAAATTAATTCGCTTCTATGCCAATAAGATGTGTTATAGAGGTAATCTAATTACTTGAGACTTAAGAGATAGGAAGAGAATTGTAAAGAGATATAACAAAATTTACACAAAATTTATATAATGAGAATATATTGTTAAAAAATAAGGAAAAATTATTGATGTGATGAAAAATATGTGGTTGAAAATAAGTTTTTCGCAAAATATTGTCAGACTGATAAATCACTAATTCAACATATAAGTCAACTTTTATTACAAGTCTAATTAAAATATTTTTTGAACAAGAATATGAGAAGCAAACATAGCTAAGATTAAAAGATATGGAAGTTATAAATATTTTTTTAGAAAAATTAAAATAGCATAGAAAATGAAAATAACAATTGTTTGGAAAAAAATCACTAATGTCTTTCACATGTGGTTTATATCAGTCGCCAGGGCAAAATTGCAAACAAAATTCCTAACAATTCTAAAAAGTGCAAATAGGTTCCTTTGGAAGGAAAAGTCCGTCAATTGCACCTGTAAAATATCAGAACTACTGTAGATGTCATTTTCCAGCTGGAGGCAACTCGACCTTGTCACTCATGTCACAAAGTCAAGATCTTCTTCGAATTACCTCTTCATCCTCGTCTTTGTCAACCCTTTTCCACGTAAACATCATGTCTTTTATGCAAAACTTAGGCCCTTTTTCGTCTGCAAGAAAATACTTACTCCCCTTATTCCTCCTCTCCATCCGCATTCCACCTCGCAAAACGAAGCAGCAATTAGAAAAAAAGGAAGAAAATGGAACAATCTTTTTTTCCGACAACCACCACTCGATCAGAGGCTTTAAGGTGGCTGACAATTGCTGAGAAATTGTTGTCGGCGCGTGACTTGCTTGGAAGCAAGGCATTTGCGACCCGGGCTCGGGACTCCGACCCGACCCTTTTGCAAGCTGAGTATATCCTCGCCGTGATTGACACTCTTATCGCCGGTGACCGGCGGATAAATAATAACCAGCTTGATTGGTACTCAATTCTTCAAGCACCCCACCAGTGCCATGATTCGGAACTTATTGCAAATCGGTACAGCCGACTAGCCCTTCTATTGAACCCTCAGAAGAATAATTTTCTGTTTGCCGACCAGGCGTTTCGACTGGTCGTGGACGCGTGGTCGGTGCTCTCGAACCCATCGAGGAAATCGGTGTACGATAAGGAATTGGGTTTCCAGCTGCAGCGCCAACCCGACCCGTTTAACCCTGTGTCGGCTCAAGAGCATTTGACTATTCCTTCAATGCAGCAGAACTTCAATTTTTTCGGAGGAAGCAGTAGCAGTGGAAGCCCCCATGTCCCTCAACCACTGGTGCATTCTAGCAGCGCTACTTCTGTGAGTCATATCCCTCAAGCACAAGTACCCGGGCATGTTGTAGCTCTCGACCCGTTAACTTTTGGGTCGAGTGCGGAACAAGTGAGTAAGCAACCAGTACACAGCTTTATTAATTTTCCTTCAGGTGGTAATATAGCTTTTGCGTCTTGGATGGGGTCGGGGTCTGTTTCGACTCAAGAACAAGTGAATATACAGCCACAGAATAGTTACCCTTGTTTTACTGGGAATGTAGCTTCTGCGTCTAGGTTGACGCAGGAACAAGTGAATAAGCAGCCACAGCCAGAGCAAAAATATTCTAAAGTTACAGATGAAAGTCATCAAACTAGTCAGAATACTCCTGTTGATGAGAATATAGAAGAAGTGGAGAGAGCGGATGCACCCGCGGGTGATGGTGTGCCGACTTTCTGGACTGCGTGTCCTTATTGTTATCACATGTATGAGTATCCTAGGGTGTACACTGATTGTACTCTGCGGTGTCAGAAATGTAAAAGAGCATTTCAAGCAGTGGCAATTCCATCGCCACCACCAATCGCAGATGAACAAGAGCAGTACTTCTGTTGCTGGGGATTTTTGCCATTGGGTGTTTCGATGGCGAATATGAAGAAAAATCGAGGTGCAGCTTCGCAGTGGACCCCGTTTTCACCTATGTTTGCTTCCCCACAAATGGGGAATGTAACTAGTGCAAATAATAAGGCTGGAAGGAAGAGCTCTGCTCCGAGAGTATATATTGATGATGATGATGATATTGTGGAACTCTCGATCTCGAACTCGAGTGAGTCTGATGTTGACTGGAAGAATGATATGGAGAAGAAGAAAAAGAAGAAGAAAGTGAATAGTGTTAAAGGAAAACGGGCTGGCGGGAAGCCAAATAAAAATCTGAAAAAAGCTCAAGTTGATAAAGCTATAAATGTGAATGTACAAGATGAACTTGTAACTGCACAAGAGGTGGAGGCTCCTAATAAATCAATGGGTGAACCGAGTAAGAAAGGGTGTGGAACTAATGCACGGAAGCAACCTGGGAGAGTTGCAAAGAACGTTGAGAAGTTGGATTTGAATGTGGAATTTAGCAATGAAGTCGAGGAGCCTACTCTCAGGGTGAACCAAGGAAATGGATCAGAACGTGGGGAGGATGACAACATGGTAGGGATTGGGTTCTTCGAAGGTCTTGATGAATTCCTAAGCAATCTTCCAATTCTTAATGTTGTAGGCAATGACAAGGCTAAGGCTGCTTAGTGAAGTAAGATTGTTTTTTGTTGTCGTTGTAGGTAATAATAATGCCGTCAATGCTGCTTAGGAAAGCAAGATCCTCTTTTTAATCTTAGAGACTTGTAGTGATGGATGATGTAGATCAACTAATGCATTTCATTTGATGGTTTTCTCGTGGTCCAGTTTGATGGATATATTGCAGGTTGGGTATTTTTCAATGTGTAGATTATTATTCAGTCAATGAAGTAGCTCAACCAGGTTTGCTAGGCTTTGAATTTAGTTCCACAGGAAATTAGACGTTATGTGAACCTACATAATACCATGAGCACAACTTCCTCTCCGAGCACTTAATTGTCTTCCCTTTTCTGCTTTTGATTTGTGTATATTTTGCTTATAAATTAGAGTCTTCAAGTTGGTTCTCATATTTCTGTTTTGAGCAGGGTAAGTGGCATAATTGGCATATCCATCTCTTAATTCAGATCAATGGATTTGTTTTCTCAGCTAGTGAAAAATAAGTAACCGAGCGTCGCTACATGTTTTAGAGGGCAAGGAGTATTGGTTTTAATTATTGGATTGATACACCATGTAATTATAAAATCTACCGTTAAAAATGTTGCATCTTTAGCTTTTTTATATGACCGCACAGTAGGACATGAAGGGAACTAGATAATATAGTATCTATAAGCCCCAGCAATTCCCCTTTCGTCAGTGGAGAATGCAATGTCTATTTTTCTTCTGGCTGATGAGTGTCATCAATTAGCTTTTCTTCGCTTTTGAAGTGGCTGGTTTGTCGTCAGTAGGGCGGATTATGTAAGATTTCTTAAAACAAGTGTTAACAGATGCTGACTTTTGATGTTTTTTCACTTAGACTGATCTTTTATACTGACTTCTTCTAGCTATAAAAATCCTTCAATTTTGAGAATATGTCTGGAAATTTGGTCTTTTGGTGCTAGTTGCAACTGGTTTTTATTTCTTGGTGTAATAAGATGTGCCCTAGGAGTGCTATTTGTGTTAAAAGGAATTCTGATTGTGGATTTTACTTCTGATTCCTGGCTTGCTTCTGTTATTACTTCTTTAACGGATGAAGTGGCAAAACCAGATTGAATAGTGTTGAAGGAAAATGGGCTGGTGTGAACTCAATAAAAATGTGAAAAAAGAACGAGGTTGTAAAGCTAAAAGATGCGAATGTACGAGATGAATTTGTAGCTTCAACCAGTGAGCCGAGAAAGAAAGGGTCTGCAACAGATGCTCGGAAGCAACCTGGGAGAGTTGCAAAGAATTTTGGGATGTTGGATTTGAATGTGGAATTTAGCAATGAAGTCGAGGAGCCCACTCCCATGGAATGGAAAAAGGGGAATGTTAGATGTACACCCTTGGTGTACATCATGGGTGACAGTCCCCTCACAAAGGGGTGGGATCCGCAATTTTTAAAATTGCGGGCCCGCTCCCTTGGAACTGAAAAAGGGAAATGCTTGATGTACACCAATAGTGTATATCATGGGTGACAGTCCCCTCACAAAGGGGTGGGGCCCGCGATTTTTAATCCCCCAATGTGAGGGGGCTGTCGAAGTGTACATTCAACATTATTCACGGAAAAAATGGATCAGGATGTGGGGAGGTTGACAAAAATCGCGGATTGGGGGTCGTCAAAGTGTACATTCAGCATTATTCATGGAAAAAATGGATCAGGATGTGGGGAGGTTGACAACTTGGAAGGGATTGGGTTTTTCGACGGTCTTGACGAATTCCTATGCATCTTCCAACTATTAATGTTGTTGGTGATGACAAGGTCGTCAGGGTTAGTAATGTATGACTCTTATATGTTGTAGTTGTAAGTGATAATAATTCCATCAATGCTGCTTGTTGGGATGGGCGTGAGTCGGTTCGGTTTTGTTCGGTTCCAGAATTTTTTTGGTATTTAGTAAATGGAACCGTCGGTTCCAAATATAATTTTGGAACCATTCGGGTTCGGTTCGATTCTGTACTATAATTAAATTTTTTAATATTTAGAATAATATTACATAAATACACCTGAAAGTAGATACTAATATTAATAACAAAAAATAGATGCAAATACCAATTTCAATCTTAACTTCTACAAATTAACGTAACCTAATTTAATAACATATATATAAATAATAAGTTGTTAAATACAAATACTAAAAAGTAAATATTAATAGTAAAATTTCGATGATTCATATCAATAATTCATTTGTTTCAAACCTTCAAATAAATGAAATATAAATTAAAAGTCATAAAGATAAAATATTTTAAAGTATTGATAATACTTACCAACTATTTAATGTAATCATAGTTGCTTGACTTTCCATACTAACTAATAAGAAACTATACAAGAAAAAATTAAAAAAAACACAATTAAAAAATATAAATAAAATCTAAATTATTCAACTAATAAGATTTAATAGAAAAAAAATTATTAATTTGTTTAGAAAAAACAAAAAAAATTGTTTTATCCAATATAAAAAAAGAAATTTCAGTTCTTATTCGCTTATTGGTCTAGAATTGAGAACCGAACTAAACCATTCGATTCTCGATTCGGATACCCGTTCGGGTATTTCATTTAAGAAAAATCGCTTGATTCGGTTCTGTTCGGTTCGAATATTTTGTCCAATCCTACTGCTTGTAAAGCTACTAAAAAATAATTTTAAAAGGTCCTCTCTTTAGATTTGAAACGGTGACTAAAAAAGGCCATTTTCAAGTTTTGTTCGTCAGCTGGGCCTTTTTCTTAGCTCGAAACATTTTGGTTAGGTTGAAACGCAGTTAAGAGAAGTGCCATCTTGGAACCAATGATTAAAAGGGCTAACTATGTTACTATGTAACAGAATTGAACGGTGTGCTTTGGATAAGTTATTCTTCTTAATAAAGTTGACCTTCAAGATGGAAATAGAAGAATTACTATATTTTTAGAGCTCAAAAATTCAAACAAGCGATCAATTTATCTGAAAGTAACGAGCAATCAGATTTCAAATGAGCAACAATTTGCAAGCCATCTTAAGGATAAAATTTTACAGACTATTCTCAAATGAGCAACAATTTGCAACTCATAATATTATTAGTTTTACATCGTTTAAATTTAAACGCAGTAATCAAATATTCATAGCTCATGTTTGACAATCATTATTTGAATTTTTTTTCTAATATATTTATTTTTAATCATATATTCACACAAAAAAATATTCTACACGTAAATCTAAAACTTTTTTTTTTATTTTTTAATCACAATTTTTTTAAAAATCACTATTAAAAACATTATTTTTTCAAAATAATGGCTATCAAACAAGGGGTCAATGGAGATTTGGATGATTTTTTTATTTTTATTTTTAAAGAGCAATTATTTCCTATCCTACATATATAAAAAGAGTGAAGATCCATTTCACTGTAGAAACTATCGTCCAAAACGACGCCGTTTTGTTTTTGTCTTTTTTTCACCCCCCTCTCTTTTTCAGTCGAGGCGGTCATTTCTTCTCAATCCGGCAATGAAAGTTCTCTTTCTCCCCTCCTTTCCCTTCCTTCTTCCTCTGCTTCCCCTTCTTCTATAATTTTGGTTATTGTTCTTTGCGATCTATGTCAGATTGCTATTGTCCCCTACCTTGTATGTTAATTGAAAGAATTGGGACATAGGGAGGGGTGAAATTCCAAACTTTACCGTCACCGTGCCGCCGCCGCTGGAAAGGTAAGTTATTTCATTTTTTAAGTTACCGGCGACGACACCCTGTCTCCGTCACGTACACGCACACGGACTGTGTAGGAGACAGGCCGTATCCCGTGAGACAAGGAGATAGGCACCGTGTCTGCTATTTTATCACTTTCTCTGAATCGACTTCTATTATAAGAATTCTAATTTCTCATCCCATCTGCATTGCATATTACTGGTCTGGGTCCACGTCTCTGACTATTCAACAATCCTCACTAATTTTCCATGGCACTTGCCATCAATCTGACCTTGTTGGCTGTGTATTCAAGTTTTTCTCCACTTCTATTTTTTTGGTTGAGAAATTTTAGGGCAACGTAATTCCTGGGTTAATTGGAGAATCAAGATTCACTGCAGCTTTTGGTACTCAAGATATTCAGCATCGATTGACATAATTGTGACTGCACTTCTTTTGGAATTTTGAAACGTTTTTTATGTAAATTCATCAACAATTTGTGACTTTGGTCATTAGTTTAATAGTTGATTGAATTTGTCGTTGCCTATTAGTAAAAACCTCTCTCTATTTCCACATCCCTCAACTTTATGTAGATATAGAAACCAAGGAATCACTTGTGAAATTGGTATCGATTGACAGAATTTTGAAGCATGTGCTTATATCTAATTGAAAAAGTTTGGAGTTTTTTTAGCTTTACGTCTTTATTAAAAAATATGGTAATTTTTTCCTTTATTTGTAATGTTGGTTACAATCATTTGACATTTGTTGTTGGAAATATATTTCTCACCTTCAAAGTCTTTTTGAAGAATTATCAAGTCTGCGAATAGACTTGATTTGAGGGATACTGGAGTGTAGAAATAGAATAAAAGAAAGCATTTGTTGTCTAATCTTTACCCTATATGTTGTAATTACGAGATATATGGGATGAGAATGTGTAGTATGACATATAGAGGATGTAAACATAAATTTGTGGTTGCACAGTAAATTATAAAGTTTAAGGTTATTCTCCTTTGCTCATGCAATGCTATTTTGTGTGCTCTAGGAAAATAGCAAATGGAATGAGTAGCAGTCTACTGTCTTACATGAAGTAACATGGTTGAGAACGTCTACAGATGGGCGTGTGGGTATGTTTTTTTTCCTTTGTCTGGTGCTTTTGCTTTCACATAGGATGACACTGATGGAAGAGGTTATCATTTTATCATCAAAATATCTTAGGGAAACATTATAACTGAATTTAAGATAATATCCTGCCTCCTAAAGTTATAACCTTAAGAGTCCGGAACTTATGAAGTTAATATGAATAAACAACTTCCTGGTCTTTTATATCTAACTTTGCGATGTAGTTTTGTTAAAGAACACCGACTGTCCCCATCTATTCTACTAAGAAATCTTTGCTTAGAAATGTTTGAATGTTTAGTAATTTCTGAAAAGCTTGATTTGTTTTGCATTTGTTTTCTGCAGCTGGCCTACTGTATTGCTTGACAGGAACAAGGACAGTGACGAGGGAGATGTTCACGACAGGGATTATGATGTTGCAGCTCTTGCAGATAATTTAAGCCAAGCATTCAGATATACTATATATGAGAATGATGATGTAGAGGTACTTCCTATACCACCCACCCAATCTGCCCACTCACACCCATCTGCGCCCCACAAAAAAGAAAAGAAAAGAGAAGTCTTCTACACAAGCAACCTGAAATTATATATAAATAATACCTTCCATTGCTTTAGTTCAGGGTCATGAATCCCTTGATGGAGACAAAGAGGTAAATAGGCTCGTTCAAAGTATCTCTTCTTGCTTATTGACAGCCATGAAACCATAGCGTTTTAATTTCTTAAATCAGAGTCCTCCAATTATGAGGAACAACTTTTTATTTCCCTCGATAGATTACCCCGTGCTGATTATTGGATACTAAGAAGCTGAATTAATGACAATGACACCTTTTAAAAAAGTTTGAACTTTATGGTTATGAATTTCCCTTAGAAGCTGAATTAACAACAATTTCATATTGGTTACTATATAATAGTTTTCTCTTCTAAAAAAATATGGAATTGGGCATCTTAGTGAATTAACATTATTGAGATGAAGAGAATTGCCACGTATGCTTCTGCTTTGCCCTCCGTGGCATGTGCTAGCTATACGTACTAACTGCTAAACAATATTCTTGCAGGTGCAAATAATCCAGCAAATAAATCATGATGGGGAGCTTAATTGGGCTCGTTACATCCCCCCAGAACCCATTCATTATTGCCACCAAGACAGTTGGTGCAAAATTATATGTTTTTAATTATAGCGAACATCTATCTAAGCCTCCTTTAGATGGTGCTTGCAATCCTGATTTGAGGTTGAGGGGTCACAATACTGAAGGCTATGGTTTATCATGGAGTCATTTCAAGCAGGGTCGTCTATTGAGTGGTTCAGATGACTCCCAAATATGCTTGTGGGACATCAATGCAACTCTAAGGAATAAGACTCTTGATGCAATGCAAATTTTTTAGGTCTGTACTAATAAAGACATGTTATAATTCCTTTTGATTGTGTTCCTCTGATCTTTCAGCATACCAAAAATCATCTCTCTTGGATTGTTGTCCTTAATTTTCCACTTGCATATTTTGTGGATTTTTTTTTTTATGACGTTAGTTCTTCATTTTTATGTATGTTGATTTATAAAATAAGTTTGCATTTGAGGCTTGAGGTTTACTGAACTCTTATCAGATTCATCTTATTCATTTGGCATCATTATATGTCTGTTCTTAATTTTGTTAATCTGATTACATATTTTGAAACCACCATTTGTAAGGTTTAGTACAGGGGTATTCTGCTTGCATCTTGGTGTATGTTGAAGTAAAGCCTATGCTTGATTAGGGTGTTCAATAAAATCAAATGTCACTGTGCATGATGGAAATAGTAGGCTAAAAGGGGATCAACTAATTTGGTCCTTTATTTTTTATCCTGTATTTAAGATACCTTTGAATTCTAAGATGAACGTTGTCTGGTGGATCTTTTCTTTTAACTTTATTATTCCCAGAAACCTTGCCATAGGCAATTAACATAATGAAAAATTTTCACCGTTTAGATGTTCTGTGTTGTCTAATTTTATTGTGTAAATTTGTCTCATATATTTGTATCTTGTTTGAGAACTTAAAATGAAAATCAAAGCAAAGGGACATATCTCAAATCATTTGGAAAAAAAAACTATTTTCTTACAGACATATAGTATGCTAATTACAATATTGACTTGTTTACCTGGTTGACTCAATTTGTACAGGTTGAGGGACCAAAATCTCCTGAAGAAATGCTCACCATACTGCAGAGAGTGCTTGAAGAAACTGAAGGAGAATCCTGGATGCAGTTGGGTTTCGATTCAAGACTAAATACACAATTTTATTGTTGGACAAAGATTAGATCCAAGATTGTTGCTTGAAAGTTCGGGTTAGTGGCTTCAGAATCCGGTCGATCACAATGTACTTTTTGCATGTTTAGTAGAAGAATTATACTTTGAGGAAGACAAAAGTATCTGCTTATGAATGTATGCAATGTCATCTTCTGGTTTCGTGGCCTAATTTCTTTTAGAAGCCAATTTTTATTGAGTAATTCTCTCCCTACCCATTTATTCAATTCATTCTTATTATATTGTTTTGTTATATTAGATTTCAGAAAGTGCAAATAGGTCAATAACTAAGAAATCACAAGCCATCTTCAAGGATTGTAAAGACCAGTGAATATATCGATGCGAATTGCATAATTGAGAAAAAGAATTGTAATCTCCTTTAGAAGAGTTCCATGCCATGTCCAATAGAGAGACAGCGTGGAGACACGGTTGTGTCTCCATACCCAATCGTGTCTCCATGTCATACCGAGTTTTTTTCCTTTATCTGACAAAATAATCAATTCATACAATTATAATAACTATATAAAAAGGTTGATGAGAGACTAATAGGAGACCGGTTTAACAATAACACAATAAATTGAGGATCAAGGTGCAATTTTCGAAGAGATCTTCCAAAACACTGGATAACAGAATCAACAAACAATCGAATGAGCGACAAAAAGCGGTGAACGGAGAGAGATATGGGAGACGAAGGGGTGAAGAACGAAGCAATGGAGATAATGAGTCTCTTCCAAGTGCTGCCTCGTCTTGTCGTCTTTGATCTCGATTACACACTCTGGCCTTTCTACTGGTAATTTTACCCTACTGCAATTGTCGATTCAGATTTTTCTTTAAACATTTACAAATTTTAGATTTTTATAAAAATTGAGAAATTTTGATCCCATGTGCCCATTGGATCGAAATTTGAAAATGGGGCTGAAATGGTAGTTTTGGGTTTTCATCTGTTTCAGGAGAAATGGAATGGTCATTTTGGGGATTTATTTCCAGTCTCCTTAAAGACTTGAGAGCTTAATTTGTTAGTAATTGTGTAATGGGAGCCAATTTTTCCAATATCATAGTATAGTCTTTCTATTCATTTTATTGTCACGGCGAACTAGCAAGCCTCTTTACTGGCTCTTTCTGTTTGCCCAGATGAGGTATAATACCAAAGTTACCTCATCTTATAAGCCAGAAAGGCAGTTGTCTTTATGTTTATGTTGCAGCTCTGCAGCCATATTAAGAAGCAAGCCTCCACAGTAAACCCCACCACATGCACACCGGGTGGAGGAGATAGGAATTTTGTTTATTTATTTATTTAATTTGTTCGAGGGTGGGGATGGGGGGGGGGGTGGACACATCAATGGTCAACTGTGCTATGATATTCGGTGGTCAACGGTAGTGGTAGCTGGCTGAGAGAGGAGATCGGCATTTGAAGTAAATAACATTTATTGCAATTGAAAATGAATAAAACGTTTATATATGAAAGATTAAGTTGTGTGACAAGTATATCTTGCGGTATTTACGTGAAATGTCAATGAAATTATGTAAAAAGGACGAAATATGCAAATGAAAGTTAATAATGGGGATTGAAAAGTTAGATTTTAAAGGTTGGCAAGAACTGGGATTGAAAAGTTAGATTTTAAGTAGTCCTAAAGGTTGCAGACTACTTGCACAAAATTTTCCCAAAAAAAAAGGGTTGTTTTCTGAAGGATTTGAAATTATAAAAGAAACTTTACCGTTAGGTTACCAAAAGTTTACATTCTACAAGCTAAAGTCCTTTTTTTTTTTCCTTTCTTTGTGCTTTATTTTCAAACTGATTAAACTTTGGGGGTCCGGCCCCTCCTAGGACCCCGCTTGGAGGCCCCTGACTGTGTTTGGTATGGAATGTACCATGTGAACCATTATGAACCTGGTCTTAAGTTGCATTGTGATGCCTTTGAACCTGCCTCATACTTTTGCATAGTTTATTCCATCGATTAATATAATTTTGAATTTCGTGAAGAATATGCTTAAACATGATTCATATTATGTGGCACCTGTTATAATTGTTTCGGAGCAATTTTATTTTCTCTGCATCTATGAAATTTATTGGATTTGTTACAGAATGTATTGTCCTTGTATATGTGTTTACTTGTACTATGATATGGCCCTTCTCACAGAAGTTGCTTGATGATATCCCAAGTAAACTCTATGGTACTTCTTGTCAATGCTATTTGTTTGCAGTGAATGTCGCTCGAAGCGTGAAATGCCATCATTGTATCCTCATGCCAAAGGAATATTATATGCACTGAAGGACAAAGGCGCTAATCTTGCCATTGCCTCAAGATCACCAACTCCAGATATAGCAAACACTTTTTTGGATAAATTGGAGATAAAACCAATGTTTGTAGCTCAGGTAAGCTGTATGCAATTATTGTAATTCTTTTACATATGTGTTTTCCGCTTGCTGATACACAAGCAAATATATTTTAGACAATCTGAAGTCTTGAATAATGAAATCAAGTTCGATTTACAGATGGCAAACCATGAAATTTTAAAATGTTTGTAGCACTTGAGTAAATTATTATTTGCAGTAAATCTGTATAAATTATTTTTAATATTTACCAACAACAGTAAACTAAATCTTATTTCCAACATATTTGGGGTTGGCTACATAAGGTTTTTTCCCTAGCCCCTTCAATCCATTTTATGTCTACCTTCAATCCATTTTATGTCTACTATAAGATATAAAACAAGCAAATATTCGCAAATGCATCAGATCATGTTAATTCTGATATACTATTCCTCTTCTAACTTGTTTTACTCGGATGGCATCACTCTTGCGTAGAGAGTTTCCGTAGGTTGATGCAAGACATTTGACAATTACCTAAATCACCATTCTTAATTTATTTTCAATTGAATCAACTCCACTTGTATATTCATTTTTTTATCATCGTTGTATGGTCACGCATTCATCTTAACATACCATTACATTCATCTTACGGACATCTTGTCTTTTATTGATCAAACACTCGGCATCATAAACAGTTTGTCTATTAAGCAAGCCACTTGCAGTCTGCTTGGCGTATAGAAGTTTTCTTCCGATCAATTGTCCACCCAATCAAGTGCAAAAAACCAGCGTTCTAAAAAGCGCGCCTAGGGCGAGAAGCGTGATGAAAACGCTTCGCTTTGAGCCTAAGCGGGAATTAAGCGGTCAACGACAATGTTGACCGCTTAATGCTCGCCTAGGTGTTCCTAGGCGCACCTCGTTGACCGCTTAATGCTCCCCTAGTCGTTTCTAGGCGCGCCTAGGCATCCGCCTAGTTTTTTTTTTTTTTTTGTAAATGCACACCAAGAAAAGGAATAGATTGACACTATAAGAATGAACAATCTTGTTTATGTCCAATTTAACGCAAGGTTGATAAACAAGAAGAATGTCAAAATAGAGAGTTTACTAACAAGTGATGCTACTAATGCACAATCTTGAATTGTAGAGGATTGTGATGATGAGGGTGAGGGAGAGAATGATATCTTACAACCTACAAAAGGTACAAATAATGATCAAAATGAAATAAGGGAGCCTGTGAATGATGATTTTGTATCCATGGTATGAAAAAACCCTGCTGAGGCCCGCCTTGAGGCTCGCCTCATTGTGAGACGCAGCTTCTGCACCTCGAGGCTCAATCTGTAAGGCAAAAAAAATGAGGCTCACACCTCTACATCCGAGGCAAAAAAAAAATGAGGCGTGCGCCTCATTTGAAGTACGTTATTTTCAGATTTTTGAAAATGAATTAAAAAAGACCCTCTTTAAAAAAGAGAAGGCCCATTTAAAAAGACATTTTGAGCCAAACAAAATATTAAAATATCTAAAATACCAAAAGACAACCAGAAATCCTTCTACACGGCAGACAGAAATCTTCCTAGATGGCCAGAACTACACAGCAGTCAGAAATGTTCCCAGAACTAAACGGCAGCCAGAAAACTTATCTTCAAGCCTTCGCTTAAAAGAGGTCCTCAAGTGCTGCTTCTATGTCTATTTTCTCCTTTGCTTCTGCCTTCTTCTAGTGACTTACAATTTAAAATTGTTTCACTAGACTTTGCTTGGCTTTTTTCTTGTTCAATGCATCGACGTCAGATTGCACCTAATCTGTTCGTCAAATTACACTTGTTTTGTTTGTGGTGAGGCTTACACCTCAAAACGTTTTGAGGCTTACGTCTCGCCTCATGACAAAAAAAAGTCTCAGTACCCGTTTACGTTTTTTCAAACTATGTTTGTATCGGACGATACGGAAGACGAATTTAATGAAGAAGATATTGAATTAGAATTCGATAAATAGTTAGATTAGATAAGATTTAAGCTACAAGTTGTCTACGTTATGTAATTATGATTTTGAAACTTATCTTTATGTAGAAATTATTAAGTAAATACATTATTTTATAATTTTAGATATTTGGTATGTATTATTTGGATTATTGAATTTTTTTACAATGGTTAAAAATTTAAAATAAAAAAAAACGCTTTTTTACGCCTAAGCTTTGTCGAGACTCGTAAAGCTTGGAGTTTGACCTCCACGCCTAGCCATGCTTTACACTTTTTAGAACAGTGCAAAAAACACAGTAGAATCATGCAACGCACGATGTTGGTAGACATTTCTTTTCATCCTTGTAGATATTTATCACATAAAATCACCGTAGAGTTCTTTATGTCATCGAAATCTCTTTGATCCTATACATTACATTGTGCTTGTTTGGGTATCATTAGAATCTCNTTGCACTGATAGATTTTAACTAGAGCTTGTATGGGAGGAATTAAAATCAGATTAAAATTGAAAATATAGCCGTTATTGTTGACTTTTATTAGACGAGTGGGACCCAATAACGGCTATATTTTCAATTATAATCCGATTTTAATCACTCCCATACAAGGCCTAAATATCTAAACAATTACTGTTTCGATAGCTTGATTCTTGCATCCTTATTCTTATCGTGTCTGAGAGGAAAGTCCATGTATTCCATCTTAGTTCCACACTTCTACTTAATTGAAACTCCTTATATTCCAAAGTACTTCTCTGAAGTTCGAAGTTACCATTTGTACTCTTCCTAGTCTCATCCACTAAAATTATGTCATCAAGGTATTACATACACCAGGGGACCTCATTTTGTATAGGTCTCTTAATCTCATCTCTCCCAAAGCAAACAGAGAAGGCCTAAGACAAAATATTGATGCAAGCTTATTGCCAATATTTATCATTTTTTCATTGTTATCTATGTGTACCTTTAGATGTGTTCTTGTAGTGTTTGCTTGAAAATATAATTTATCCCCTATATACAGCTTTTACTTCTATTATTAACTAATTAATATGTGTGCCTTCAAACATGTACTTAGAGATGTTCTCATTTGTGTGCTGCAAAATGCATGGTCAAACACATAGTATATGCTCCTCCACATACAATATTAGTATTAGAAGTATAAAAGTACTCCTATCAAAAAAGAATTATAAAAGTACTGACTTTGAACATTTATTATGGTAGAGGGTGCTTTTTTAGCCAAATGTGCTCTATTACCACTGAATACCTTCACTTGTTGCCTTAGCATAATGATAAAAGAAGTTGTTTTTTGATAACAGTGACCTGGGTCCATCTGGGTTTGTAACTTATGACTACGTGGCAAGTTGTGTTCATTTTTTGTGTATGTTGTGCAGTCGACCGTTTTTGTGCTTTTGCTGCTGTATTGTGATGTTCGAGATGTATAATCCCTTTCTAAATATACTCTTTAAGGTTTTGATTTTATATTGCTACCATGCTGAGAGCTTTAATATTTCAGGAGATATTTTCGAGTTGGACACACAAGACTGAACACTTTCAACGAATTAATCGGAGGACTGGAATTCCATACAATGAAATGCTCTTTTTTGATGACGAGGATCGAAACATAGAAGCAGCAAGATCTCTTCTCTATGAGTTGTTTCTTATTTATTTTCATGCATATAAGGTTAAGGGTGGATGATGATAGGGATTGAGATCTAATCCCAACTGGGAGAACAATATTAAGCAAATAAACTCAAAAAATACACAAAACATTTACGATGTTGATTCCACGCCTTTCAAAATTCAATCCTTGTCTTACACAAAACAACCTCGTTCATAATCATCTATATGTTGTTACATTAGGGTGACCTAATATGTGTATAGAATGCCTTGAATACTCCTGGCTAGGCTCCAAACAGTCCCAACAAATGAGTTACATGTCGTGTCCATGCATCATTATTATTTTTGGAACTCCTAATTAAATGTTGCGTTGTTTGTAGGTTTCTAAAATGGGTGTGACAAGCATCTTGGTGCGTAATGGCGTGAATCTAGGTGCTCTGAGACAAGGGCTCACTAAGTTTACACAGAATCTGGATTCTTTGGAAAGGAACAAACAAAGGTGGAAAAATTTTTCACGAAAATCAAGTTCATCAGAAAGAGACCAATCCTAAATTCTCCTTGCATCTGAAATTTATGTTCACTTCTTGAATTGATGATACTCTATGATCTGTCTGTCAAACTATAGAAGTAAGTAAAATTAGTTTGCCTAATTTTATTCCTAAACATGTTTCAGTGCATACTTTATCTTGTAAGTGAAAACGTTATGGTAACAAAAGAGATACTTCCATAATTAAGTAAAGTTATTGTTTTCAATTTTGCTTTTTAATAAAGTAACTTATAATTTAAGTGAAGTCCCTTTTGCATAAGTTGGATATACTATGATTTAATACAAGGCAAAACATCAGATTCACGTTTCTTAGTTCTGTTTAAAAGGTCCAGATTTTTCTCGAATGTGCTTCTCAATAGAAAAAGCGCAGGGGGTTTTTGTACTTTTCTTGGTCCGGCTGTATTTGAGGGATCTCATCACGATATGGCAAGAATTCTCCAACATTTTTAAATTTTTACGCTAATACAATTTTTGTGGAATCTTAATCCAAACAGTGTTAAGAGTTCTTCTTCATTTTTCTATTTTGAATTGCATGAATCTGATTTTCCGTTTTTCAATAAAGTCTATGACTGTTGGCGGAGTAAATTTCATCTTCTGAAGTTAAAGGCTTAACTGTGCATTCATAATAGTTGGAGGAACGTTATGAATAATTGGAATACGAACTAGCACCTTTTCAATATTCGGAAAACCAAAATTGATCCTACTGAATCGAAATTGCCCCTTATAAATGTACCGGTCTACTGTTGTTCATGGTTGGAGGACCCACAAGACCCTTTTCATAGTTTGAGGACCATTTTGATGATAGTTCATAGTTCGAGGATCGACTTACCGAGTTTTCATGGTTCGATGACCTATTTACCCCTTTAGCATATTTGGAAGATCTTAACGTTGATGGAGAACTACTAAACAAACTCAATTCTGAAACCTAACCCAAACTAAACCGGACCATTATTAACCCAACTTAAAACCCAAATCCAAACTAAAGCCCAGCCAACAGTGTCCCAAACCCAAATCTATAACCTAACCCAAACAAAAACCAAAGCCCAGTTCAATAGTGAACTTGACCCATAACCTAAAACAAAACTGAAATCCAGCCCAAACATAAATAATAACCCAAACAATTAAATCTCAAACCCAACAAACCCTAGCGGAATAATAAATCAAGAGGAAATTACACATGCACNTGTTCTGGTGCATGGTGTGGCGGTGAGTGTCGGGTTTTGTGATGCGTCTATTGTGTGTGTGATTTGTATGTTCTGTGTTGTTTTGGCGGTGGTGGCGATGGCGACTGGTGGTGGTGATGGTTGTTTGTGCGGTTGCCGACAGTGATGGGGGTGATCTGTAGGTATGTGTTGTGTGATGTTTTGGCGGTGGTTGAAACGGAGGCCACTAGTGGTGTGGTGGAGGTGGAGGTGTGTGTTGCAGTGCAGTGGTGGTGTTTGACGGCGGTGCTGTGTGCAGTGTTGTGACGATGGTCGTGGGTGGGATGAGATGGACGTGGGTGTCTGTTACCAATTATTTGGTTGATTGTAACCAATAATTGGTTAATTTTTAACAAATTAATAATGTGTGACCTAAAAATTGTGACCTTGACTCATATTTTATTAAGTTATAATCGAGTTATAACCAATAAAAGTAATATGTGACATATAATTTGATGTTTTGTGACCATAAATAAGTTGTGTGACTTATAAATTTTGTGATTTGTGACTGATGAACAAATCGTGATTTATAAAATTTTAAATTGTGACCAAATTGCATAGATCTGTGAACTTATATATATATTTATTAATTAAATTATAAATAAATTTAATGAAAATCTGATTTTTGAAATCTAAAACCCCCATCCTTAATTTTGAAATAATGATACTTAAATACCTTATTTATATATTGTTCTCATAAATCAAAATAAAAGTGAAGCCCAGTCAATTGTGACCCAACTAAATCTCGAACTAAACAATAACCTAACCACAATATATTCAAATAAAATTAAGGGAACAATACATAAATTGGGTTTTTAGTAAATACTATTTCAAAATTAAGAATACATGTTTTAAATTTCAAAAACCAGATTTTCATTAAAATTTATTTATGATTTAATTAATTAAATATATATTTAATTAATAAATATATAAAGGTCATAGATATATGAAATTTGGCCACAATTCTAAAATTTTGAAGGTCACAATTCAAAAAATTTATAGGTCACAGTTAGTTCATCGGTCACAAATTAAAATTTAAAAGTCACAAATCATGAAATTTATGAGTCGCACAATTTATTTTATGGTCACAAAATATCAAATTATAAGTCACAAATTACTTTTATTAGTCACAAATTAATAAATTTGTAAGTCACACAGTATTTATTATCAGAATTTATTCTTTATTGGTCACACACCAACCAATTTATTGATAACAATCAACAAATCATTTATGTTCACCACCAACAAACACCACTATCGTAATCATTTGTGACCACCACCAACACAACACCACCGTCATCTCTGTCGCCAACACCAACACCACAAAAAACACACCACCGCACCAATACCACATAAACGCACCACCGCCCGGCAACACCAACACCACCACTTCCCAGCAACAAAATCAACACCAATGCCAATACTAACAATACACCATCCCCACAACCTCACCAAAACCACCGCCAGATCTGCTATGGCCACCAACAAAAATCAAAGTCGAAAAATCACCACACATCTGATAAATCAACCACGGCGACCATTAGCAAACATCAGCCATACAACCCATCCAATTAATCAACCACAACAACCATTAACAAAACATCAGGAATACACCCATCCGCCATAGCTACATCAACCATTAGCAAACATTAGCCATACAGCCACCACACCCATTCCATAAATCAAACTCTAAAAAAGAAGAAGGAAATAACAGATCACGCTAGAAAGAGGAAGAGAGGAGAATGGCGGAGGAGATATCAGGTCTCCGGTAATGCAGAGAGGGTGAAATGTGATAATAGATAGAGGCGGTGGTGGTACCGATGAGGTGGTGCCGGTGGGGTGGCGACGACGGGGATAGAGAGACTGGGGAGAGAAAATGGGTCGATTATGAGAGATAGAGAGAGAGAGAGAGAGAGAGAGAGAGAGGGGTATGAACGAAAAATTAGGGTTTGAAATTTGATTTAAATAAAAATTAATTTAAAAATCATTAATAAAACGTGAATTATGTATTATTAAAGTTGATTTTGGATTTGTGAAAGTAGTATTTTAAAAACCTGTGTGGCTGTAATTTCTTCTAAAACTAAAACCCAGCCAACGGTGACCTAATAACATAATCTAACCCAAACAACCACCCAGCCTAAGCCCAAACAATAACCCAACCTATAGACGAAACCGAATGCAAAATAAAACCTAGGTCAATAGTGAACCTAAACCCAAACAACAACCCAGTCCAAGAATGAACCCAAACCCATTTCCAACATACAAGTCGGTCCTTCAACTTCTATAAACATGCAATTAAGTCCTTCAGCTATTAGAATCATGCAATTAGATTCTTGGACTAATGAGAACGTGTAATTCAATCTTTTAACTATTGAAAACGTGCAATTATGTACTTCAACTACTGTAATCATGAATTCGATCCTTGAACTATTAGAGGCAAGCAATTAAATGCTTCAACTATTGTGATAATGTAACTCAACCCTAAATCTATTAAACCAATCAATTCGGTGCTTCATCTATTAGAAACATGCAATTGGGTGCTTCCACTATTGAGATAATGCGATAAATCCTTCGACTATTGGAAAAATGCAATTACATGCATCATATATTCAGAACAAGTAATTCAATCCGTTAACTACTGAAAATATGCAACTAGCTGCTTCATCTATTTGGATCGTTCGATTCCATCCTATAGCTATTTGAAACGTGCAATAAGGTTCTTCATTTGGATCCTGCAATTCGAGCCTTAAAACAATTTGAAAAATGCGATTGGATGCTTCATCTGTTTGGATCATGCAATTTGATCCTTAGACTATTAGCAATTAGGTTCTTCAACTCTTAAGACCATGCATTTCCATCCTTCAACTATTGGGCATATGCAACTCGGTGCTTCTACTATTGGAATCATGCAATTCGATCCTTCAACTATTGGGAAAAATGAAATTAGGTGCTTCAACTATTTGGATCATGCACTTTGATCATTCACCTATTGCATATATGCGACTAGGTGCTTCAACTATTTGGATCATGCAATTTGGTGTTTCATCTATTTGGATCAAGCAATTCGATTCTTAAACTATTCGAGAAATGCGATTGGATGCTTCAACTATTTGGATCATGCAATTCGATCCATGAACTATTCGAGAAATGCCATGGGTGCTTCAACTATTTCGATCATGCAGTATGATCCTTCTATTATTGGAAATATGCACTTCGGTGCTTCAACTATTTTGGTCATTCAATTCGATCCTTCAGCTATTGGAAATATGCAAAATGGGCTCCAATTATTTGGATCATTCAATTCGGACTTTCATGTATTAGAAACATGCAATTAGGTGCTTCAAGTATTTTGATTTATGCTGTTTGATCCTTAATTTATTTGGAACAAGCAATTCGGTAAATCAACTATTAAAGTCAAGCAATTCGGTCCTTGAACTAAATTGTTCCTCAACTATGGAACATGCAGTTAAGTCCTTCATCTATTTGAAACATGGAACTGGGTCCCTCAACTATGGAGAACATGCAATTATGTCTTTCAACTATACGAAACTATCAATTCGGTACATATTCAATCCTTAACGTATTCGAAACAAGCAATTCCGCCCTTGAGCTGTTGCAAACATGTAATTGAGTACTTCAACTATTAGAAAAAAGCAATTTGGTCCATCAGCTAGTTTAATCAAGCATTTTGGTCCTTGGAATAATGTTATCATCCACTTAAGTCATTTTACTATTTTGAACATACAATTTGGTCTTTCAGCTTTTAGAGTCAAGAACTTTAATCTTTCAACTATTTTGGACA